GGTATGGATAATTTATCATTTAAATACGCGATTAAAACCATAACAATTTTATTAAAAGACATTCTAGACACCGTGATTTCGGCAGTTCCAGCCCACAATTTGGTCAGAATTTGCTTGTATCAAAACGCACTGCAATACCCAATTTGGATGCCACCTATTCAACGTGATCAAGTGGGTGTTGAAAGATGGATGACAACGATCCGGAGAATCTTGAATTCGAATCAGGCGTTTTTATTGGATGAATCTTTTGAACTGTCGGTGCAGCACACGGATGTTCCATCTGGCTCGTGCAGAAAAAATGTTTCGAAGCTGTTACGTCAAATGTTGGACAAGAAACGGTGCATAACACAAATCCGCAACACCGACTGCTTGTGTATGGCGCGAGCTATAGTGGTCGCTAAGGCGCATGCAGATGGCGATAAAACGATGTATACAAAGCTTTACCGAACGAAGAAATTGCAGAGCGAAAAGACTAAGGAGTTGTTGCAGGCTGCACAATTGCCAGACAGAGAATTCAGTGTGGAAGATCTTCCGCGATTTGAAAACGTTTTACCAAATTATCAATTTATTGTAGTCTCGGTGGACCATGGAAATTCAATTGTGTACTGTGTAGCGTACTGTGAAAAACGGATCATGCTGCTGCATCATGATCATCATTTTGACGTTCTAACATCCCCGCCCGCGTATTTTGAACAGCAGTATTATTGCTACCGCTGTATGAAAGGCTACAACAAAAGGCAGAACCACAGATGTGAATTCAAGTGTCATCAGTGTTTATCTGTAACCTGCCTTATGGACAAGCTTCAGAACATACACTGTCCTGACTGTAATCGCGATTTCCATGGGCAAGAATGCTTTGACAGGCATAAGTCGGGGAGCAGTCCAATCTGCGCGAAGTTCTTTATTTGTGAATTGTGTAAATCGTTTATTTCCTTGGTTAATCGTCGAATGAAGACCAATTACGATTTGCCACAAAATTATCCGCTTTACGATGACGGCGACAATGACAGCGGCGATGAAAGCGATGATATTGAACTTGATCTGGACGACCAACAGCATCGTTGTGGTGACGTTTATTGCCCAACGTGCTCACTGTTCTACATGCCCGAAGACAACCATGTATGTTACATGCACCCCATTGAGTTGACGGATAAAGAAAACGCTAAACACCTAAACGATAAGCTAGCGTACTTTGATCTTGAAACGTTTCAAGATGCGACAGGTGATTTCAAAGTCAATTTAGCGGTCATAGCAACAAAAGATGACAAATTTGTCATTCCGGAAGATGGAAATATAAGCGGTGATATTTCAAGTGCATTGGGGGAATTCATCTTTAGCGAACGCTTTCGTGGGTACACCTTTATTGCACACAAATTGAAGGTAAACAATGTCAAAACTTCATAAAATTCGTTATGAAAGCATGTGTTCACAAAAGGTTACTTTCAGGGATTTGATGGGTATTTCCTGCTAAACTATCTAATCAAGAACGGAATTATTCCACACCCTTTAATTTTTAACGGGAGCAACGTTGTGCAGATGGACATTTCAAAACTTAAAATAAAATTCCGTGACTCCATGAACTATGTGCCGTCATCGCTCAAAAATTTTGCCAAAGCGTTCGGACTGCAAGAAACTAAAGGAGACTTTCCTCACAAACTAAATCAGCCAGAAAATTGGAACAAAATCCGTCCATGGCCAGATCGACACGATTATGGTTACCAGCTCATGAAAAAGAAAGAACGTAAACGTTTTATAAAGTGGTTCCGTAGAGAGCGACGCCGTCACAACATTCATTTTGACTTTAATGCTCACTTTATTAGGTTATGTAATTTTTGTCATTGACTACACCCCGTCGTATTCATTTCACTCTTTTGTAGATATTGCTCACAAGATGTCCTTGTTTTGCAACAAGCATGTGAGAAGTTTCGAACTCTCTTCCAACAAGTGACGAATGGATTGTGCCCATTTGCTTTAGGCCTTACCACTCCAGGAATGTGTAATTATCTTTGGAGAGCGCGGATGTTAACGAAAAATCAAATTGCGCTGATTAGTCCTCCTGGCCAAGGTAAAAAATCTTCTGCCAAAGGAGATCGTTGGCTCCGATGGATTGAAATGGAAAACGATATGCAACTGCAGCGCGAGGTCATTGGACAATAGATGGCTTCGACCAAAGGAATAAAACCGTTTATGAGTTTTTAGGTAAATTAAATGAATCACAATCTTAGAGAATACAGAAATTTTTGACATGATTGTGTTTTTTATTGTAAGGGTGTATGTGGCACGGTTGCAACGACTGCACGACAAAAAGTACACTGCATCCATTTCTTAATCGCCCGATGGAAAAAATCCAGAAAGCGACTGACTCGCGCCTTGACGCAATTAAATCTATGGGTTATGCTGTTGTTTCAATCTGGGAGCACGATTACGATGCACGCCTAGCAGAAGACTTGGAATTCAAACAAGCCGTCGATTTAGCAAAAATTGAAGAGCCTATGCACCCACGAGATGCATTTACCGGGGGTCGTACAAACGCTATCAAGCTGTACCACAAATGTGCGCCTGGCGAAAAAATCTATTCTCTTGACGTTATCAGCGAGTACCCTTACATCAACAAAAATCTGCCCTATCCAGTTGGACCTCCGGTGATTATCACAAAAGACTTCCCGCCAGTGGAAAGCATATTCGGAGTGATAAAATGCCGTATCATTCCACCGCCGTCTTTATTTCTCCCAGAACTACCGTACAGAATCGACAAGCTTACATTTCCTTTGTGTGTAAAATGCGTGCAGGAACGTGTGAACGCCCCGTGCTGCCATGAAGATGAAGACAGGGCATTGGAAGGAACGTGCTGTACACCAGAAATTCACCGGGCGATAGAAGCTGGCTACCGCATTGAAAAGATTTACTCTGTTTGGCACTATCCAGAGCAAATGCAATATTTATTTAGAGAATACATAGATCTGTTTTTGAAACTCAAAACAGAGGCGTCAGGCTATCCACCAAACTGTCAAACGGAGGAAGAAAAAGACAAATATATTGAAGAGTTTTTTATCAAAGAAAATATTTTATTGGATAAAAGCAACATCGCAAAAAACGATGGGTTAAGAGCGTTGTCCAAACTAATGCTGAATAGTTTTTGGTAAGTGGAATAAATTCGATTGGGAGGATTCATTATCAATTGTGATCGTTTTCTTTTCAGGGGTAAATTCGGCCAGCAGGAGGACAGATCCAATACCGCCTTCGTTGAAAAGAAAGAGGTCTTCCATGATTATTTGTTTTCTAATAAATACGAAGTTGCCGGATTCGACCTGGTGACTGACGAAATTATGGCTGTTCAATACCGTTCTAAGAAAGATTACATCCCAACAAGCAAAAGGACAAATGTTGTCATTGCGGCATTCACAACTGCATATGCGCGTTTGCACTTGCTGAAGTTTATGGAAATGGTTGGAGACCGCTTGTTATATCACGATACTGGCAAGTACTGACATTTACGAAACTGACTTTCATATTGTAATTCTATCTGTGCACTTTGCAGACAGTATCTTTTATATTCATACTGATGAATTGCCTGATCCGCCAGTGGGAACATGTTTGGGGGATTTGTCATCATCCTTGGAGCCTAATGAGCACATCAACGAATTTGTTGCACTCGGTACATTCGGATCTAAGATAAACTGCTTTACGGTACAGCTTATAAATATTTAACTTTAAATTTTTTCAGGGCCTAAAAGCTACGCGTACCGCACCAATACTGGCAGTGAAACGATAAAGGTCAAGGGCTTCACCTTAACAAGGAAAGCCAGGAAACAGTTGAACCTCGAAAGCCTGAAGGAAATGCTATTAGAAAGCTTGGCACCGCAAGACCAGCCAAATGATATAACCGCGAACTATCCCTTTAATATTACGCGAAATAAGCGAAAATTGGAGGTTTCCGCAAAAGAAATAAATAAACGGTTTCGACTTACATATTCAAAGCGTCGAATTGTCGACACGGAATTTAACACTCGACCATGGGGTGACGTTTCCAATGATTAAATCTTCAACTTGCAGTGCTGAACAGTTGTTGATACCGGTTTTTATATTATGACTTACTCCGAAAAAGGCTTCGAGCAATATTAATAAAATTAACATTACAATAATGCATGATCCAATAACTGCTTCGCAAAAGTTCTTTTTACACACTATGCGCGCCATTTTGATGGTATATTTTCTTGCTTATGTATGGTGATTTATTACGATTTCGCGCCTTTAATACTTACTTTAAACAGTTACTGAAAACACTATCCAGACAACCAATTATATAATACAATCAAAATAAAAATTTGCGCAAAGATAATAATTATCATCGAGTTGGGTGCGGATATTAGTACTGCATAATACGTGTAGCGTGTTTTATACAGTATGAAATATGTACAGTGTACAGCTGTGATTATTCTTCTGTTGGAGTTGGGAGCTGTAGTTATACAGTCCAACCGGGAATTGCAACTGGAAAGTCCAACTCCCAACTCCAGTTTATGACGTAACCGACGCCATCTTGTGTTTATACAGGGTACGTTTTCTTCTGGATGCAACCGGAATCAAAACTTCAGCATAGCCTTACACAAAACGAGTATACGTTGAAAGATTCAGAAGTCTAATAATCTGAACTGAAATGCACCGTATCGATGACAAGTACGAGTAAAACATTTCCCGGGTTTTATATGGCTTAAAACGTTCTGATGAGACATAAGCACTACTTGTAGTACTACTTTTTCTTGCTTATTACTTATGTCCAGTTGTAGTGCCACAAAATACGCAAGCTTGCGCTTTCAGTGCGCCCATACAGAATATAGAAGTATGCTAATTACTATATGTAACGTTCTGTAGGTTTAAAATACTACATAATATTAACTGGACGGCCTTTCCGGCGGCCCATGCAGCGGCTTGACTTATCGTAACTATAATCCACTATGAAGTAATGGAAATACAGGATCGTGACAACAGCAGGTTATGGGCAGTAGTTTAATGTCGTTCGGTCGGTCGCATTAGAATCAAATCCTCTAACATTGACAGGCTGCCTTTTTTATAGGCGTAAAAGTGAGTTGTAAAGTACGATGGGACGATAATATTATGGGAAAGTGAAGATTGTAAGATTACACTCATATAGTTTACAACACTCTATAAACGACTAGAAACAGTCACATTACACATTAGTGTGTTCACGCTATACTAAACATTGCGTAACAGGGCAAGTCGTCGGTAAAAAAGCAGCCATGATTGTGCGGGAACACCTTCTGGAAATGGCGCAAGGATGGCTACAACGGGGAAAGCATTGGATGAGAAAGCACATCGGCTGGGCGTGATCAGCTAGCGGTGGGTTTGAAGTGACCGGAGTTAAGCGTCTTGGGTAATCGGTAATGGCAATGTGAATCGGAAATACAGGAGATAACAAGAAGTCCTCCAGAATCAGTAATGATAATTATTATGATAGTCAAGCGGGTGAAGATCTCGGGAGTCAAGGCACTTAACAGAGCCGCATTACTATATGCTAAGATAAAAGTTATGGGGCAGAAGACGTATCATAAAAATCTGCCGATAAAAGCTGTAATACAGATATCGAGACAGATATTTAAGCACTGTCATCTATACATTTATACTCGCATTTTAGCGACGTGTAAACCGAGAAAAATGATTAACGATTTCAGTTAAAGGTCATTTACAGCAAACTTAATGGTGAATCCAGGCAAAGGTCACGGTTATTGTTACACAGTCATGGCCATTTTTTCGTCACTGTACGGTGGCGGTGGTGTTCCGTTCTGCTGCTTCGAATGAGCCAGAAGCTTGTGCTCTTCTTTGGAGGCCTTGCGATCATCCGCCTTCAGATCAGCCGACTTCAGCTCTTTCCGGACGGAAATACGTTGCCGAATGATGAAGACCACAACGATGACACTGGCGATCAGCAGCAGAATGGCTCCCAGCATGACCATGTGTCCGGGGAGGTCGGAATGGAAAGTTTGCTGGACTGCATTCCACGCGTCCGGTATGGGTTTGGCCACGCTGCCAGGTGTGGCAAACAAGGCGTCAAATTTGGCGGACGAGATGAGACGGTTAGCGGCGAAGCCGACTTGCATGAACCATGCGAAGATGGAGGCCAGCAGGCACAGGCCGCAGCTAAATAAAGCCCAAATCTGGCATATTCCGAACTCACACATGGGAATATCACCGTCATCGAAGAAGGCGGAATTTCGTTGGCCACACATTAGTCGCACACTGGCCAGCATGAACCGGGCACCGCATGCCAGCTGTACTCCGTACAACGGGATGGACACGACGAAGATCAGCGTTTGCCCCATCGGAACATTCTCGTCCGCAGCGAATATTCCTGTGAAACAATACATAGAAGATTCTGTCGAGTGTTCAAATAATGTTTTGCAAGGAAAATCAAGCTACGTCATATGCTGTTTAAGGTAAAACTTCGCTAATGGGAAAAATAATCTCAGGAACGCGTTTTCAGCGAAATTTTTGAAACGACCCATGAATTCGAATACCACTGCCGGTTCAGTAAATTTGTTTCTTTTCCAATTTGGTTTCACAAACAAAGGCACTGCTTTTTTTTCGTATTACCGTCTGTTTTTCCCGAGCTCAGATATTATTCTATGCTGTTGTTTACCAATAATTAAGCCCCTTGATGTTTTAGTAGTGTGGGTCGACAATGCACTGTAGTACTGTAGTCGATCACCAACATCATACAAGAATTATTATTACTAAAATTGCAGCCGGCTATTCCGTGAATACAAGGAAGTAATAAATATATTCAATGACACAGTAATGCGGTCGCGATGTATTTATATCGAACAGCACTTATACAGTACTTATACAGCAGAAAGGACCGCACTTAACATGTACGGTAATATGCAGACTGCATACGGTAGTAAGGTTATCTAGACATGAGTATTTACTGCCAAATTGCCAATCGATGAAAGCGAAGAGACCGGTACCGCATGTGATTGCTGACATCCTCGCAAGCACAGTTTGTACCCAGCTTTACATGTACATGATCTCAGCGGAAGTTAGAATAGTGCCAGCTGTGAGTCACACCTTTTGCGCTCTGTCAACCCCGTCCGAATCTTTATAAATATTTATCCATTTTGCAGAGTTAAAAAACAAGTGGATAATTAATAAGCAACGGTAGGGCAGATGGTTCATGGTTGAAAAAAGCTTAACGGAAATAGAAAAGTTAAGACGCATACAGAGAATGGAAGTTATTAAATTATTCATATAAATTAAAGCTCAATTTAATACACGTAAATTACGGTACTGTTTCAATGCCGGATGATGCATACAGCTTGCCAGAAGTAAATAACGACATCCGCTATCCCGCTTCTTACCGTAAAATATGTTGTAGAAATTTGCTGCGAATCCCACAAGTGCCAAGAGGACTTCCGCAACGCTGAGTGCCAACACACTGCTAGTAGCCTTTGGAATCGTCGATTTCTCCGTCATCATAGTCGGATTAATAGCCAGAAACTCGCGCTTTAGTCAAGCGAATGCCGTTTATAATAATCGGTTTCAGAAATAATACGAGAGTTTCTTTTGCGATACTGAACGATTATAATAATTATTATGGTGCCGAGACAGCGAGCTGGTTTCGCAGATTGTTCAGACCAGAGATCGTAGTACGCCGCATGGCGCATGAGGTAGGTCTATCGATCGGCAGTCTCAGAACGAAGGCGGTACTTGGAAAACAGGTACCGTACAACGTATAACGTATTCATCGTACATCTTCCTCGATTACACTAGACGCGAGCAAAGCATGTACATGCCGATTTTGTGGTGTACGATGCCTCGACTTTCGAATGAGTCGATGTTAGTAACCTCCATGATACCTGTTGTAACTCCGTGACCAGCGAACAATATTTTAACGAACATAATTATTAGGCTTTTTATTGCTTTTACTTGTACCACGCAGAATGTTAACATCTATCGACTTTTTACTGAACCGGCCGCACTTTTACCTACTTTATCCTCAGAACCGTACTACTCATTACATTACGCCAACTTCTACGAACATCCAATAAATGGCCGTTATTTAACTTTATCAAGTAGCGCAACACCACAGAATTCGAAAGCCTTGGGCCCTTGATCAGTCCATTGCGCTTAATAATTACATCCTAACAGGTTACGAAACTGATAAAATTTACCAGCACCGTCGCTGTGCACGGTACTGGTAAATTTTACAGTGACGTTGTAGGAAACCGCACAGTGACGGTGTGGGAAACTTGGCTGTTTTTATACAGGCACACCGTCGATGGGCTACCGATCACTTCGGCCGTTTTCATTTCGCCCGCGTTCATTTCGGCCAAAGTTTTTCGGCCGTGAGTCGCTTCGGCCGTCGCTTAGTTCGGCCGTCATTCAGTTCGGCCGCCGATCACTTCGGCCGCAGTACATTTCGGCCGACGATCATTTTGCTTTGATTTACAAAAAAACGTTACATTGGATATAAATTTGTCGGAAACTTAAACCGTTGGATAAAAAAGTAATAGCAAATGGCCGCGTTCATATCATTTGGCACGAATAATTTGATTCAGCAGTTTCTGAAGTTTAACTGTCACCATCGTGTCTACTTTTCAATAACAGGAAGTCACGAAGTCTATCGGAAGAGTACTGAAAACTTAACTGTAAGACACCTACAAAAATTAAAAATTGAAAGAATTATTCATATCATAAATCACCTAAGGATAACATAAAAGTAACCTGCGGATAACCTAAGAAAGCATAAGAAAATTAAGAAAGCAAAAAAAAAATAAGAAAGCATAAGAAACCTAAGAAACCCAAGAAACCTAACAAATCTAAGAAAACCTAGAAAACGTAGGAAACCCAAGAAAACCTATGACGGCCGAAACATCCAGTTGCCGAAATGAGCGTTGGCCGAATTGAGTGTTGGCCGAAGTGAGCCACGGCCGAAATGAACGTTGGCCGAAGTGAACCTGTGCGGGCGAAATGTAACGCGGCCAAAGTGATCGGACGCGGACCAAAGTGTAACCGCACAAAGATCTGAAGCAGTTTTCATCTTGCTAACGTACTGCTTATCTGACGCCATGCCATTCTATGTACGGAGCTTCTACCGTATGCAATCTGAAATAGGCTTCTTAGTGGACAATGCCGACGTTATCACTAAAGCTCACTTGTTGGCCCTGTCTACAAAAGAGTCATCTGCATGGTTGTCGGCGCTGCCTGTGTCCAGTTTGGGAAAGCTTCTAGATGATGTTATTGACGAGTGGCTGTGGCTTTGCGTTTATGTGCTTTTATTTGCAATGAGCACGAATGCCGTTGTGGCGAAATGGTTGACAGGTACGGTCATCATGGCCTTTGCTGTAAGAAAAGTTCAGGGCGGATGCGACGCCACAGCGCGCTTAACAACATAATTCAGCGGGCCTGCGGATCTGCTATAATATCGGCCATCTTGTAACCTCCCGGACTTAGAAACTGGAAAACGATCAGATGGCATGACCCTGTATCCTTGACAATATGGAAAATCTTTAGTGTGGGATGTCACTGTAGCTGACACGCTAGCGGCAACATATATCGGCCAGACTTCTGACCACCCTGGCGCTGCTGCGGAAGCCGCTGAGATTCGAAAATTGGGAAAATATGAGAAGTTGAGGGATCGATACATTGCCCAGCCTTTCGCTTTCGAAACTATGGGATGCTGTGGACCAAGTACCAGTGGTTATATTTCGGATTTAGCCAAACGTATTCGGGAGCAGACGGGAGGAAGCCGTGCGAAACAGTTTTTGCTGCAGCGTTGCAGTTTAGAAATACAACGGGGCAATGCTGCCTGTGTGCTTGGTACAGTTGAGTGTAGTCGCAATCTTAATGAACTGTTTTTGTTTTCTAGAAGTTGATGTGTGAATCTCCATGAGTGTTATAATTTTTCTACAGTCGATTGTGAGCATTTTAACAGATGCAAATGTTAATGTTATCCAGATCCGTGTTATAGACGCCAGTGGCTGTTTCATAAAAAAAAACCAGACTTCTGGTACACGACAATGCATTTGAACTTTTCGCCCATTTTTGTTCGCCATATGTCAGCAACCGGATGTTGCGCGCGCTAACGGTTTTAACAACAATTAGTATACAAACCATTTAGTTCAAGAATTACATAAAATATTACAAAAAAGTGATTCGGAGTGCGCGAAAGCAAAAGTTTTAGTGCATGTATACGATTTCTGACACCATGTGCCGGGCCATTTTCCTTAAGCACATCGCGCAAGCTAGGAGATCGGCGATGCTTGAATGGCGAGAGCGAGAAAATGTACTGCGGTGGAACCGCGATACTTGTCTTCGGCCAGAGGCCTGTTTCTTCTCCGTTTTATAGGTTTTTGTCAGATCTTTGTTGATTCAGTTTTTTTTAATAGTTGGCATTCGGTCTTGCTTCTCTACTTGGCATACCAAGATAGTCATATGACTCATCAACACACAACAACAAGCGGCAGATTTCAGGTCTTTAGAAATGGTGAAATTTAAAGACAGCAAAACAAATTGTCAGAAATAAAAAACCACGTTGCTTCGCTTAAGTTTCTGTTTTTTCAGCAAATGTATTTCGCTCAAACTTTCTAAGCGATATAAAAATTAACAATCCAGTAGACAGGTAGGGCAAGCGTTAAATAAACAACAATCATCATGGAAATTTATTTGGCAGTATTGCCAACACTGTCTCATCTTGGGGGGATCACCTCTGGATGGGTCTATAAATATTACATTGGACGACAAATTTAAATTACAGTATTAGCCCCTCGAACGATTTCAAGAAAACGGTCTCATTAAAACCTTTTTATTTTACTTTTCGATAAGTTCCTATAATTTGACAGTGCGCATTACAAACCGTTTAGCATTATCGAATAACAGAATAAACGTTAGTAACTGTGAAGCTGTATGACATCGTGGATTCAGCCGGAATTAAGTCATCGGAAACATGACAGCAGCTATGGTTTTTTGGCAGCATTCCTTCCTAAAATGGCGAAAGGAACGCCACACGGGGAAAGCAAGGATGAGAAAGCACGTCGGCTGGGGATAAGCAGCTAACGGTGGGTTTGCAGTGACCGGAGTTCACTATCTTGGGTAATCCGTAATGGCAGCGTGAAGCGGGAAATACGGTGGCTAATAAGAAGGTTCTCCAGAATCGGTAATGGCAATTATTATGACAGTCATGGGGGGGGTCATGCTTTGGGGAATCGAAGCAACTGACGCAGCCATACAGCATCACATTGTCATGACTAAAACCTGGGGCAGAAGACATGAAAATTTTCGCATAAAAGCTGTAACACAGATATCGAGACAGATAGTTAAGTAAAGTGTACTACGAACTCGCATTTTAGTGTATGATTCTCTCTGCGCGCGTAAAACGTGCAGTTGTTCAAGGATGTTTTTGTTAAAAGGTCATTCACTACGAATACAACGACCCGCCGCCAGGAAACGGTCACATTTGGCAGCTTGTCCTTCACCGCCGTCGCCACTTTCCCGTCACTATGCAGTATACGATGGCGGTGGTGTTCCGTTGTGCTCCTTCGCACGGGCGAGAAGCTTGTGCTCTTCCTTGGAAGACTTGTGATCATCCGCGTTCCGATCAGCCGACTTCAGCTCTTTGCGGACGGCTTTACTTTGCCGCATGATGACGACCACCACGATGACACTGGCGATCAGCAGCAGAACCGCTGCCAGCATCACCAACTGTCCGGTGACGTTCGCCTGGAAAGCTCGCTTGACGGCACTCCACGCGTCGGGTATGGGTCTGGCCACAGTGCCAGGTTTGGAATACAGGACGTCCAGTTTGGCGGACGAGATGAGGCGGTTAGCGGCGAAGCTGACCTCGCAGAACCAGGCGAGAACCATGGCCAGCAGGCATATGATGCAGCACATTAAAGCCCAAATCTGGCAGATTCCCAAATCACACACCGAAATATTAGTGCCACCGTCATCGAAGAAGGCGGAATTTCTCTGGCCACGGAGTAGTCGCACACCGGCCAGCATGAAACGGGCACCGCATACCACCTGCGTTCCGTACAACGGGAGGGAAACGACAAAGACCAGCGTTTGCACCATTGGAACACTGTCGTCGGTATCAGCCAGTATCCCTGCAAAACAATATACAGAAGATTCTACAGAGATAAAATAATGTCTTGAAGAGAAAATGAAAATATTGTGTACATATGTACATGTACATGTATCAAAGTATGTACTGTGTATATGTACGTACATGTATTGTGTATATGTATGTATGTGCAAAACATGATTGTATCAAACTATTGCGTATGTACATGTAGTGTACGTACAGGTGCATGCACTATTGTGCATATATACATTTACGATACATTTATCTTCATCTCAATTTCCCAAAATGGGAAAAATAATGCTTTCACTAAAATTGTTGCAACGAACCAGGAAAACGTATATCCGTGCCGGTTAAATAAATTTTCATCCCTAAATTTTTTTCAATAACACAAGCATTACTTTCTTGGTTTTTGCTGGAAAACTGTAATCGGTCTCCTCCAACATCATACACTATATAATGTTATTGAAATTGCAGCCGGCTGTTCCGTGAATACAAGGTAAGTAATAATTATATTCAATAATTCGGTAAATACGGTCGTCGTGCTTTCACTAATATGGAACGGTACATGGTACTGATACAGCAGCAAGGACACACTAATCTTAACATTTACGGTAATATTCAGTTACGTATATACAGTACAGTCATGTATTGCAGATCAGTATGTACTGCCAATCGATGAAAGCTAAAACCGGTACGGCATGTGATCAATGACATCGTCGCAGACACAGTTTGTAGTTTGTACGTAGAGTAGTAACCGGCTTTACACGCAGCTGATGTCATGGGAAATTAGAATAGTGCCAGCTGTGAGTCATATCTTTTGCGCTCTGTCTACCCCGTCCGAATCTTTATAATTATCTATTTTTCAGAATAAAACCTGCGGATAATTAATGAGCTACGATAGGGCAGATGGTTCATGGTTGAAAAAAACTTGACGGAAATGAATAGTTAAACCACAAACGTCGGAAGAAAAAAAATAAATTTCTATGTCATTATCAATGCAAACTTTATTATATAACTTACAGCTGATTTTGTTATAGGTAAAATTTACGGTGCCGTTCCAGTGCCGGATAAAAGCGTACTAGTACAGCTTGCCGGAAATAAATAACTGCATTCGCTATTCCGCTTCTTACCGTAAAACAGGTTGTAGAAATGTGCTGCGAATCCCACAATTGCCAAGAGGACTTCCGCAGTGCTAAGTGCCAAAACACCGCCAGTAGCCCTTGGAATATTCGCTAGTTTGTCCATCATGCAATCGGATTAACAGTCAGAAACGCTGGCGTAAGCCAACCAAATGCCGTTTATAATGTTTGCTTTCAGAAATGATACGAGAAGTTCTTTTTTTGCGATACTGAATGACCATAAATTAATTATTATTATGGTGCCGAGACCGCAAGCTGGTTTTACATGTACAGATCCTTCAGACGGAGATCGTACACCACATGGCGCATGCGGTAGTGCGATCGATCGGCAGTCACGCTACGAAGGTGGTACTACGAAAAGCATGTACAGTGCAACTTAAACGTATTCATGTACATCATCCTCGATTTAAAAATTAACTGTAACTGTAGACCCGATCTAAGCATGTGCAGCGAGCCTTTCTGCGAATTCTGCGGCATACGATGCCTCGACTCTCGATTGAGTCCATGTGGGTAACCGCACCGCAGCTGCGTGGTTAAACCGCGCGTAATGCACATCTCATTCTTAGTACTGGTACTAGGGTAGTGTTTTATGTTTCACGGGGTTTCTTAGGCCATGAATATGTACATACAACAATGTAACAAATCTTACTAGTAATTTTGTAATGTCAACAAGCAATCGTAGGTACTGTAACAGACTATGGCGAGGAGCTCACGATGCTGTCTTTATTAGACAATAAAGGCTGACAATACTGCGTAATAGCAGGAAGAAAAGAACAAAGGCACGTGTGGCCAAATAGCAAGTGTATGCTCAAAAGGTTCTTGATGCGTCTCGTTGGCGAGTAAGTGTCAAGTGATCCTGGCGGCAAACACGTGCGTGGTGATGCGGGCCAAGACGTGAATCAGCTGTGTGATGCGCAGACTGGACTCTACCCAACGCGAGCGTATGAACGCTGAGTAGTACTGCGAAAGAGGGACGAGAGAGCAAGTACGCTCAGTGTGTGCGCTGTGCGGTATATCCACTTCAGTGGATGGGTGCAGTGCAGCGTCACACGTACGTACACGAGAGAGGCAATATGGCATGTAAGTGAGTGCAAGTACGCTCTATGTTGAGCCGTACGCACCACGCACAGGCTCATGTGCCTGACATGCCTCTGGGCGGGAATCCGAGCTCCCGCGAAGGATGCTCCGACTCAGTACCGCACCAGTACTGCACAACTCTCCGGTTGGACCCAGTGTGGGGTCGCCGGTACGCGTCCTCTGGCAGCTGGGAGTCCGGTGTCCGGTTGACCGTCCCTTCATCCACTTCCGAACCCGTGAGAGGCAAGCAGCTCACGGCCGAGAAATCCGGAAGTTGCTCGTGCGTTTCGTTGGGCCGGTGATGCATCTGTTGGCTGGCTTCTTGCTTCTGTTGGCATCGGAGAACAATGAAAAATGTAATGAAAGTTATACAGCGCGAAAGAAAAATAAAGTTTTATTCACAATTCCAGTGAGCAAAAGGGTTACAAAAACAGATCTGTCAAAGAGACCAAACTATAAAAATACAATTCCGTTTGTTAGGAAAGAATTCTAAAAAAAATACAAAAATCTGTCCGGGGGTCCTATTCCGACTAGGATGACGTCCACGGGGTGCTTGAGTTGCCACGGGGTCTCCTGTCCAATGTTGTCCGGTAAGTTGGGTCCGGGGCGTCGGTTCCCGGGTTACCCGTCGTAACCGGCTAAAATCACCGAGGTCGGATAAGCATGGTTAACACTTACTTCCGACTCGTATCCGTCCGTTGGGAAGAAAGAGGCACCGTTGCAGTTGCAAATGCCGAAGCATCCTCTCTGAATGGGGAAGTTAGACCGAGGTCGGTTGACCAAGGTCGGACTACCGATGAGTCGATCGGCAGTATGGGAATCCGGCTAAGTTCCGAACTCCGAAGTCCAGGTCGGACAAAGCTATACTCAAGTCATGCGACCTTTGTGGTCGTCAAGTACAGCAGTTCCGTTCACAAGTGGTCGGGTAAACCGTTAAATCTGCTACCACGAGCCTGGTTATGAAGTTATCCGATGCGAACTGGCTCGAAGGTCCGGTCGGAAATCCTCGGTATCTTCGGTGGGAGTGTCCGGTTGACTTCCATCCGATGCATGTTGTTGCTACCCGACCGTCGGAAAGTTGAATTCTTCCGTTTGGAGATCGATGTCCGACCTCTGATTGCTTGGTCGACTTGTTGTCGTGCATTTCCGACCTCCGTTCGGTCATGCGATTCGGTGTGTTCCGTTGTTATCCGACCTGTAGTCGGTCACAATGTTGTGCGACTCGAGGTCGGATATTCCATCCATCGATGGTCGACCTTAGTTGGATTCGTCCATCGCGAGGTAGTTATCCGTCTTTTTCCGTCCTATTTGACTGAGTTAGTCGACCAATGTTGGTCGGCTAACTGATCCGACGTGAGGTCGGATATCCCCGGGTCGGGTATGTCCGACGTCCCGAGGTCGGATGAAGTGTGTTTCCATCCGTCCTAAGGTTGAATTCTTCCGCTGGGAGGTCGATTTCGAAGTTTTAGTTACTGTTCCGATGCTGTTGTCGCATCTATCCGACCTCCGTTTGGTCACTTCCGACCTCCAGTTCGAGGTCGGTTAAAACGACTTATACCGTTACGCCCAATGTGGGGCTAGTCGGCACTCGTCAAGTTAACTTACTCTCGGATGTTCCGTACTTCCAGCCACAGTTGACTGGGTCCCTTGTGTTCGGACATCCTTCGGTCAGTTCGGACTGGCAGAAGGATATTCGGCATCGCAACTCCGTTCTTCTGCGGCTGCGCTCCTGACTCTGGGTCGGATCCGGACTTCTGTTGGTCGGTCCGAGTAAGGTATCTCCGGACGGGTCCGAGTTCCGGCGCGTCCTCCGGTTAGTCGACTGAAGTGAAGTGCCTCTGGGCGTCCGAGTCCCGCTCCATGTTGAGCAATGGTATGTTACCATGGCATCTGTTGGCCAAGTGACTAGTACTTCCTCATGCATCATACTTCCGGATGGCGGTGAAGAGCCTTTGTGGTCTCTTTTCACCATCCTCTTTGGTTTAAATTCGTCATGCACATGCAGTTCCTGAGGTCGTATCAGATCCGATTCTTCGTTTTCTTTAGTTGCGAACCAGGGACGCCTAGCCGCGTCAGTTGGGGGTAGGTGTCCGAAGTCCACTGAATTCCTTTGCCGATGACGCAGAACATCTGGCCGGCACTGTTGCGGGCAGATGATCTCCGTTCTCGGTGTTCGTCAAGGGGTGCAGGTCGTGTGTTCTAACGCGATCTGCCTAGGATGTTCCATTGAGGACATGGGGAAGCAGGTTGGCGGCGGAGTCGTCGGTACACTGGTAGCCGAATCACCGTCGTTGTTCCTCTTCAGGTAATGGCAGCACGTTCGAGGCGCGCGTAGTCGTGGTCACCGGTGAATCGGCGGTTATGTCCGATATCCTCCGGGGGAGACGTCGGTTGGACTCCAGGTACAGAGTCTGTAGCTCTGGGTTCAGCGGAGAATCCGGTACGACTTGGCCATCGTGATCCTTGGCGCGGTCTGCGTCTTCGTTTATGCTCCCCTGTCCGATCCGTTCTGGTCGTGGTTCAGCGGTCTGCGTTGTTGCAGACTTTCCGAGATACCATATCGTGGTTCTATCCGCGGTCTGCGGTCCGTTCTCCGGAGTCTTTTCGCCGGAGTGGTCTGCCAGCGGAGCGGGGAGTGTCCCTCGCCGATCCGCTGACAGACCGCTTTTCGTGGGGTCCGTTCCGGATCGTCGGGTTCGACGAGTGTCATAGTTGCGTTCGACGAAAATTGTAAAGTTACTGCGGGGAACAAGGTCGGCCTTTGTGGTCGACCTAGTTTCCAGTGATCGGGGTTGATCACTCTGCCCTGTTGGCAGTCCCGCTGAGGATGTCCGCTGTTACCTATGGTGAAGGTTGCTGGTCGGCTTACCCGGTTCCTAGGTTGGCCACGGGTGCTCGGCAAACATGACGAAGAGCGCGCAGCGACGTGTTCTACACCATGTTAGCGTAATCCTCTCGGTCTGTGCTCCGGAGTCGGTTGGCCGGAGTAATCTTCGTTCCATGTAACGCGGATTGGGGCTTCTGTTGGCTCCGATGGTAGCAGAACGTGGCTCACGATATGCTGTTGTTAGCAGACGTGGTTCCAATCTGTTCATGCCAAGCTGGGGAACTGAAGTCGGTTGTTCAGTTCTTTCCAGGGGATTCCTCGGGGGACGTACCGGTACGGTGAAAGAACCGAAGTACCCAGGTCTTACCACGCGTTTCCGAGTCAGACCGAAGAATCCGGCGTAGTCGTTGTTGACTTCCGCTGTTACCATGGTTGGTCGGTTTCTGTAAGAGAAACAAAAGAAAAAGGTATCCATTCCGGAGTCGTTTCTCGACTATGCTGTTTCTCAGCAGGACTGTTTTTCAGTCAGGTCGGTTCTCGACCATAATCGGCCTTTGTGGTCGATGTTCAATCCCCTCGGATGTTCCACGTGGGGGATCAGGTTCCAATGTGGGAACCTGATCTTATCCGAGTTCGACGTTGATCGGCGGGTCGCCGCCGAAATAGTCATCTTCGTGGTCGTCGTCAGGGCGATACCGGTGGTGTGGTCGTAACGACGACGGTTTACATGTCGCCGGGCCACTCCGTTGAGACGTATCGTCTGTCTCATCCGTTTCCTGGCCTGAACGTTCGGTTCGGGTCTTCTTGTCCTTGGCCGCTTGCTTCCGAAGCTTCAGCGCGTACGGTTGTGCGCCAGGTGCCAAAGCGTCTGACATCCATGGTTCGTATGGGTGTGACGTGAATCCGCTGGGGAGAACTTTGTGTTCTCTGTACCAGCTGATGAACCTGGTTGCATCGTCGCAAGGATCGATGTAGTCCTCGCTGAAACCATACTTCACCGCGTAACGTTCGTGGGTGTAGAGCAGGTCTCGCAACCAGACGGCTTGAATGCTGCTCCGCATCGGAGTGCCAAGTTGGGCTACGATGGTTTGGAGTTCGGCTGGTATCTGCTGGTTCTGGTACAGTCCGTACAAGGTGTAATGGCAGAAGTAATTGCCGATTCTCGCTGCGAAGATGTATCGCAGGAATGCCGTAACACCGTCAGGAGCCAAGTCGACCTCCCCTTCTGGGAGATATTGGACTAAGTCCAATGCTGCTCGTGCTGCGGTGATGACAAAGGCCGGGTGGGCGTCAGTGATGAAGAACTGGGCCATACCTTCCAGCTCGTCGTGCGCGTATTCGCGAGCCCCGAGTTGACTTGCACGTGTCCAGTCCGGACTGTACAACGGTACATTCAGCAAGTTCGGGTCGGTCATCGACGGTAAGGCGTTCGCTCTGGTGTACGGATGTTCCACATTCTCGTTGGTGTGAGCGTCCATATTGAAGTCCGGTTTCCATTGTTGTTGTTCGACCAATGTC